CTAATGATGAAAACCAAAATTGGTGTCAAGTTAATGAATGGTCATAATTACAAGTATCAAACCCCAAGAGAATATTACCAGACAATTAATTAAGATGCATTTGTGAAGTATGCGGTCAGACGTCGCAGTCATGGAATAAGTTTTCACCAAACATTTCATTTTTTTTAAACAATATTTTGAAGGAGTTTTAATTTGAGCTTCAAAATATTGTGTTGCATATTCAACACATATATCTCTTCAACAAACACTTTTCTTGACAATAGTGGACTATAATATAGTAAGTATTTGAGTTGGATTCATATCATACTTTTTTATTTGTCGAGAGGATACCGTTCAGCAAAATAAATTCCACGAATTATTATGAAAAATTGATTGTGAAACCAACTATTTTTTTTTTTCAGAAAACGGTGATGTGGAGGAGCATGTTGGAAGTCTACGAGTCAGAAGATCAAGATGCAATTCCAGCAATTGTGGTGGAGACTGTTTTTGTATTCAAGACTTTTGCTCTTGTCCTGATCGTAAATGAATTATTTCGAAGCAATTTACTTAGCTAGAATGGAAATACAGATACGATTCAACTTGATTATTATTCAACTCGAATAAAAACGTGAATACATTTCCGTGTTTCAATTTATCGTTAGCGATTCATTCAAGTTTCCAATTCTCACTTCTTTATTGATAATAATTATAATAGCTCTTTTAGCGGTTTTTTTGTTTGTTATGTCAGTCTCAGTAATAGCTTTAACAGTCTTCTTAGGAACATTTTTTTATTTATCATCCAATATTTTAGTAACGTTCTTTATTTTTCTCAAATTTCTGCTTCTGGTCTTCCTTGATCGGTGTACTGATTAATATTTCCGATTTTTGTATTGTCCTTTTACGAGTAGTAATTGGTTTGGCAGGATTTGGTATAGGTCTTGCAGTTCGAAGTTGAGTATCCAGGTTTGGGATCCAGTGAAATGCTCGCATTTTGTTGAATGTTTACTTCAGTTTCTGGCCGCATTGTATCACTTTTCTGAGCATTTGTTGTTGAATCTAGTTCAAAAGCGTAGAAAGATTGAGAACATCCTGGTTCTAGTTCAGGTCTGCCTTTAGATCCAATTTAGATCCGGTATTTGGCCAGTTAAAAACCCTTTGACTGCATTTAGACTACGGCACTTTTCAAAAATGCCGATGATAACAGTTTGGCCACATCATATTGATTTATAATGCGTATATGTTGTCCAATAACGCACTTAGTCTAGTTAGCGTAGAGATACGTAACATATGGAAACCTCTTATCAAGCGGAACACGACCAACTCCCGCCAAACGGTCAGCTCCAGCTGAAAACCAATGAAGAGGGAGAGGGAAGAGGGGAAGGTGAAAGCAGTCGAACGACCTGGAAGGTCGTTCGACTGCTTTCCCTAAGACGATTGTG